ATTTTATACTGTGTCAAATCAACTAAGCTGGAATTACATTTCCAGATGTACTTCCCTGTATGGTTCCAAGTTGGGGTTGGCCAAAAGAGAAGCTTGCATGAGATTTTTAAGGCAGAAGTGAAGCAGAACCATTTTACATGCTAAAGATAAATATCAGGCACGTGTAGCTTGCTCTGAGCTGTTGGCTAACCTGCTTGGCCTGGGTAAACAGCCACATTTAAGGCTTCTTCAGCTGCCACTGGATCTCTTCCTTCAGTTTCTCTGAGATCTGAGCCCTGCAGCTCTGGGTAAAGGGCACTAGCTCCTTCTGCAGGTCACTGATATCATTGGAGGTAGTGAGAGACAAATTTGGATTTTAGTTTTTCTTCATAGGTTCCTGTGTTTCCTCATGGGTTCCAGTTTGTTCTTGTGTCTACCACATTTCATCCAGCTTTCCTTCCCAGCTGCTGGTCCTGCTGACCTATGATGACTTCAAGGTCACTACTGGATGCAGAAATACCAGCCTTCTATAGGTTTCTGCACCAGCTCCCATAGTTTCATAAGTTCTAACCCCTAGAATAAAACCCTATATTCATACCACTTGTACTGATTCTGCTTCTCCAGTCAAACACTAATCATTTCTTTGCTGAGATTCTCCATCTAGTCCTTCATTACAACTACCTTTTTTGAATTCCTTGTGTAAATGTATCATACATGCTTTAAAGTCCTTCTAATTTATTATTTTTTTCTTTTTAAAATTTTAATTGTCGTTCAAGTACAGTTTTCTGTCTTTTACTCCCATCCCAACCCACCCACCCAGCCCTCCCTACCTCCCTTCCATTTCTACAACCCCCTAGTTTTTGTCCATGTGTCCTTTATACTTGTTCCTGTAAACCCTTCCCATTGTCCCCTGAAATTCCCTCCCCTCTTCCCTCTGGTCACTATCAGCCTGTTCTCTATTTCAGTGTCTTTGGTCATGTTTTGCTTGTTTGTTTGTTTTGTTGTTTAGGTTCCTGTTAAAGGTAAGATCATATGGTATTTGTCTTTCATGGCCTGGCTTATTTCACTTAACATAATGCTTTCCAGTTCCATCCATGCTGTTGCAAAGGGTAAAGTCCTTCTAATTTAAACAACTGGGTCATTTCTGGGTCAGTTTTAAGATGTTTTTTTCTCTTAACTATATGTCACATTTTCCCATTTCTTCACATGTCTGATAATTTTTATTGTATACTGACTATGGTAAAGAATAGGTTGTAGACATATTGTCTTCCTCTAAACAGTGTTGATTTTTATTTTAACAGCAGATACATTGTTGGCTGGTCACCCCAAGCTTATGGAGCTTATGAATTGGATCTGTTTCAACTTCGTTGTTAGCCTTAGGGTGAATCCCCTAGGTCTTGACATATAATCTTCACTCCTAAAATGTAGTTCTTCTGTGCTTCAAAAAATTCTTGAGGTGTTCACTAAGCTTCTGTACCTTAGTGTGACTCAGACTCCAAGTTGTCCCCACTACCACAGGCAGCAGATGAAATCACCTTCGACCATTGTTTCTGCCTGCTTTTGGTCACTTTCATGTGTCTTTAAATGTTTGTTTTTTAATATATTTTTCAGATTTATAATTGTCATCTGCTGCAAGGTCAGTTTAAATGCAAACTACTCCCTCATGATCAAAATCAGAAATTTGAGATCATCTTTTAAGACTAAAGCAAAAGAAAGAGAGAAGGATGGGGAGGGATATACCTGAATCTCGTTAACAGAAAGAGAGAGCTGGAGAGGTTTGGAGGATGAAAGTAAAGAAGTGTTATAACAATCTCTACCTTTAATAGATTGTCTCAAGTGTGTGTGTGTGTGTGTGTGTGAGAGAGAGAGAGAGAGAGAGAGAGAGAGAGAGAGAGAGAGAATGAGAAGTTACCACAGAGCACTCTAATCTGTCTACTCGAATCCAGTGCATAGGGATTAGAAGGCAGAGGAACATTCGGTGAAGCTGCCCTAATGCCTGTGTTAACTGCTGGTGTGTGTGTGGGTGTGTGTATACCACACACTCACTTCAGCAGGGTTAACTTGGAAGAGTTTGAAGGCCAGTAAAGAACACCATGTGTGCCTCTCTCCCTCCCCTACTACTAAATATTTTTTCTAAACTATCAGACAACACAAAAGTGAAAAGGTCCAGGATAAGATGTTCCAGGATACTCAGCTTTTCTGAATTTTCTTTTAAATGCATCCCAGGATATATGACCAGGATGCTACTGATGAGTTAAGAATTATGATACCTGATATTGCTACACACTTTGGGGGTAAATAGCTTTCTATCAAGGTGGTAAGTAGGAGGCCTGCAGGCCAAACTTGGACTCTTTACAATTTTGATATGCTAGATATTGGCTCAGATTGTGTTTTTAACATTTTTGGAATTAGCTGCACACATTTAAAAAATATGGATTCCTAGTTGTCTCCTTTAGATGGTACGTATACTCTACAATTTGTCTTAGTTCTGAGCACCTCTGGGACTGAGGCTTGCCTGCTTTGCTCACACACATTTCTGAACATGACCTGTCTGGCCCCAAAGGTTTTTGAATTTGTGAGTCCTGCTCTGAATCATGCTGGGGTCGCTGCTACTGTCCATGGTCACATCACCATAGTTACCTGTCTGGAGTTTAGGGGAGATTTAGAAAGGCCTGAATAATTGGTGGGAAATAAGAATGCATGCCAACCCCCCTGGGGAAAACAACAAAACAAGTTACCACCCACCATGAGGATGGCCTGAGTGATAAGAGGAATATAATAAGTTATTTTTCCTTTCGAGGGCTTTCTTGTTTGGCTTCCATGGAGGTCTGTGCTTTAAGAAAGCTTCCCTTAGCCTAGACTTTGCTTCCACTGAGGAACAAGCTTGTCAGGTGAGATGTATCACTGAGCTGAGGGAGGACTGGGAAAGATTGGCAGGCAAGAAAACAGTGAGACTGACTGTTACCCTGTGAAAAAGAGAGGACATGCAGGAGAGACAGAGCAGTTGGTGGTGAATGAAATAGAGCACTATTGGGGAAGAGTGGCATCATTATTGACCAAAGCAGTGAGAGGCTGGATACTGTGACAGCAGCCTTTATATAAGTAAAATATCCCCCCCACACAGTGCAGGTGCAGTGGCTTCTGGCATGAGAGTAAAGAGAGGAAAGATTAAAGAGGGCCGAGTTTTGATGTGATGGGGTAGAGGTAGAGAAGAAGACAATAACTTGTAAAGATTAAATAGTAATGCTATTCTAAAGAGACTCTTGGGAAATCTTAAGGCTGGAGGGTGAGCTGAGAATTCAGGATCAGTCCTACAGAAAGGCTTTATGCGTTAGTGGTCAGGAGTGTGTAGTCTAGAACCAGATCCACATGGATCTGATTCTAAGCTTTGTAGTTAATCATCTAGGTGACCCTGGGCAAGTTTTTAACCTCGAAAGTTTCCTCATCTGTAATATGGGGATAGGATAGACAGTACCTACTTCATAAGGTTCTAAGTATTAAGTCAGTGAATGCTTATTAAGTGCTTGGTCCAGTTTCTAATAAGTGTTAGCTGCCATTATTAGTTGTTATTATTATTTTATTGTTAGTAGTAGTAAGGCACAAACATGAGTGTGTTATGAAGTGTCCATCATGGGGTGATCATGGTCCTCATCACCCTATTTCTTTATATTTAAGCACCATGTGTCAAGAAGCCATTGTTAAATTGCAGATTTGACTTGGAAGATTTATTAGCAGCAAAGAACAAACTTCAAAGTGATGGGCAGGGGTTTCAGGAACAGTTCAGGCTTCCTGAATATGGTTAGGACTCTCCCTTGGTAGTTTTGAGAAGTGTGAGGCAGCATGAGAAGGAAAGGATGGTCAACAAACCACACCCACTTCATAAGCTGGTCTGAATTTAATATAGTATAGCCACACTCGAATCAGTCTTAAAGTTGCCGTATGCTGTGGGCATGTTGAAGTTTTCCTTATAGCATAAAAACAAGTGCTTAAAAGCTTTGGCAGGGCTGGGCTAGGTGAGAGCTCCCTTGTGCATGCAAGCTGGTGTCTGGTTGAGATCAAGTTGGAAGCTCATGGAAGAAACCTCTATTTCTTTTTTCTGGATCAAGAAAAGCAGCTGCCTGCAACTGATGGTCTCACAACACTGGTACTGCCCAGTTTGCCCAAAGGAGGCCCTTCTCAGCCCAGAACTTATAAAAAGAAGGCAGCTGCCACAGAAATCAGATATTGGTCTCAGTGACAATCAGTCTGTGCACCTCAAAGGAATGCCATGAATTGTTTTTCCTTCCCATTGCTTTCTTGTTTGGCTTTCATAGAGGTTTGTGTTTATCGAACTTGGGTCTAATTGTTGCAGACAGATGCCTCTGTTCTTTTAGCTGAGACAGATGGGCAACAGGAGGAGGTGGTGGAGGTGGCTATGAGGGAGGAGGTGACATTTATAAATATGTCAAGGGACAATGAAAATTCACTGAAAATGCATCAGAACCTTTTAAATGAGAAGGTGAAATGATCTTTTATGTGTAGGTCTATAAAGACAGGAATGGTGTTGGTGAGGGTATTGCTTCTTGGGCATCTGTGGTTACAGTGGATAAAAATCAGCTATAGAGAATAACAGTTATTTTTAACATCTTCCTATAGAATGTGTTTTATAGGAACTGCTAGAAATTTGCAAAATTAACTGTCACCTTTTCCTTTTCTATCTTAAACAACAAAAGGGGCAAGTAGCAGGTAGCATAAGGAAGAAGGAAGAGTTGTAAACAACTTGGGCTGACCTACTGCCTGGGTCAATAGTTACCAAAGAACCCAACACTGGTGTGAGCAACAGTTCCTTGTCCAGATGCTTCTCTTGGGCTGAGGCACACTTGGATATGCTCTCTAATCAAGCCCTCAAGGCTACAGCAAGCCCTCAAGCCTCAAGCTCTAATTTAGCTAAGTCCAAGTTCCTTGTCACTGCCCCAAACCTTAATTAATGGCAATACTGCCTCCTGGGACTAGACCCTGGCTCTTCCTCTCTAGCATCTTACCCCTTTGTCCAGTGGAACCTTCACATCCATAGAGAGAGAACCTGTTTCCCCATTGATCATAGCTGTTCTCAGCTTTAAGAAGAAAGATAATGAAATTAGTTCCTTTACACTGGAGGGTGGAGCTTTACTGACCAGATTGGAGGTGATCCCTAGGAACACTTTTGGTTCTTCCCTTTTTCTTCTGAACAGGATATTGAGAGGTAGTCGTGACCTGATTCTAGGCTCCATTTAGCTTATAGTTCTGAAAATTCACTAAGATAATGTGCCAAAGTGGACTGATATATGAGGGAACATAGTATCATAGTACCTCTAGGTAATTTCCTCTAGGATGTGCTACTGACACCAAAAACCAGACTAAAATATCACTAGAACTTCAACTCTATAGCTTATAGACATGAGCTCATGCAGCCTCAGTAATCCTTGTGATTCAGGAAGATATTGTTATATTTTTATAGTTGTTTAAAAAATTGTTCATTATAAGAATTTTCTGGATTGGGCTTGGAAAGGCTCCACTGAGAGGTATAGAGCAACCTTGGAGCTTCCAGTCATGCAGCTGGCTCTCTGTTGGCTGTAGAGGTACACCAGCTCCTCCCACTTCCCCACTCACAGTTTCAGTTCGGTCTTCCCACTCCACCTCAGAAAGGTCCACACTGTTGTAGTTAGGTTTGGGTTTCAGTTTCTTCCCCTCTCTGTACTATAGTGGGCAGGTCAGGAAGAAAAACATGAGGTTAACATAAGGCCCTGCTCATGTTTCGTCTCTTCTATAAAGCCTTGTGGGTATGTTTATAAGATAAAAAAATCGCACTGATTTCTTAAGGTTATCTGGGCCAACTTTTAACCCAATGCAGAGCTTCCCCTGTCAACATTTGTGACAGATGGTCTCACAGCCTCTGAGTGAATATTTCCCACGGGAGGAGCTCTCTCCTTTTGTCAGGTTGTCATAATTTTGGACAGCTCTGAATGTTAGAAAGTCCTTCTTCATACAGAACAGAAATTTGCCTCCTTGTAAGTTTTACCCATTGGTCTTAGTTCTTTCCCTGGAGTTACATAGACCGTCTTCCCTTTGACAACCGTTGTGATTTCTGAAGGTGCTTGTCCCTCCTAAGCCTTTACTTCTCCAGGCTAAACATTCCTCATATGCAGATGCCTCAAATCCCTCTGAATATGCTCTATTTTGTCAATGCCACTCCCAAAATAGTGTGCCCAGGACAAAAGTCAGTATTTCATATGGAGTCTGGTTGGTGTGGTGTGTCGACCAAATATCTCACTGTTCTGACTACTGCCTCTGATTCTGCTGGACTTTCAGGACAGCTATGCTGCCCTGACTGCACAAATAGAGTTTTCATTCCATTAAATCCCCTGGGTCTTCCTCATGTGATATACAGTTAAATTACATTTTTACAAAATTATGTTTGAACACTGAGTATTTTACAGGAATTTCCATGCATCCCTAATACACTTCATCTTGTTAACTTTAACCCATTGTTTTAGAAAATGCTTTCTGAATACTAAAATTTTTGCTTAATGTATTAGCCATGGATTCCAGACTTTGTGGCATCTGCCTTCTGTGTTTTCATCTTGTTGATAGATTTTGAGAAAAGAACAAAGCCAAGGACAGACAGATTCTGCAGTGCTTAATAAAGAGCTCTTTACAGCTTCATGTAGAGTCATTAATCCACACTCTTTGAATGTTGTTATTATTTTTCTGGTCTCTTTCTCACTTTCCAAGAAGTTATCTGTTATTAGGCCTATACCATTTCCCAGGTTAACTTTAGACATACATCAAATAAAGAAAGACAATAGACTTTGGTTAAGATGGTGGCATAGGCGAATGCAGTACTAAGATCCCTTTACAACCACATCAAAATCACAACTAAACTATAGAACAACCATTGTTCGGAATCACCTGCAATCTAGCTGAATAGAAATCCTACAACTGGGGATTTAAAGAAGAAGGCACATTAAGGTTGGCAGGAGGGACAGAGAAACAAAATGGCCTGGTCTCACAGCCACATATGGGAGATAAAAATTGGGATGGATATCTTGGCTGGAGAGGTCCCCCCTGAGGAACGAGGGGTCCCAGCCATACACCAGGTCCCCAAGCCCAGGGTTCCAGTTCTGGGACGAGAAGTTCCCATAACTTCTGGCTGTAAAAACCATCAGGAATTGAGTCTGAGTAAGATGGAGGGTTTCAGGAGTCCCAGGCATTTCCTCTTAAAGGGTATGCACACAGACTTATTCTGACTCACTCCCTCTGAGCTTCACTACTGGAACAGCAGCTCAAATGGCATATCAGGGACATACACGGAGGAACTAAAGTGTCTGGCATCAGGACGAGAGATGGAAGGGCAGCTTTCTCCTAGACAGAAATGCTAGCAGAGGCCATTGTTTATTTTATTTTATTGTATTGTATTTTTTTCATGAGCTCTGTCCCCACAGAGCCTGCAGTTACGATATCTGAGTCTCCATCAACCTGGCTAACACTGTTTGCCCACCCTCGTGATTCTCTGGGACCCTACCCCACCAAACTTTCAGGCCCACCCAAGCTGTTTCCAATGGTTTTTCATATGAATGGCCTGTCCTGTCTCATGCTTCAGACTTTACTAAAATCTCTCAAAACAAGCAGCATCTGGCCTCAGCAAACCCTGTACCTCTCACTAAGTGGTCCCATGCCCAGCAGTAGCAGCAGACAGCCTTGGTTCGCAGCATGGCCTCTCCTGGGCACCTTCAAACCCAGCACAAGTAGCAGCCATCTGCAGATCACTTTGTAGTTCAAGCCAGGTGGCACTGGGCAGAGCACAGGCAGCAGCTGACCTTGGCCTGCTCCTCCTGGGATGTCCCAGAGGCAGCACACCTGGTGAACAACTTCAGACTACACTGAAGCATCACCTGACTACCTCCACAACTCAAGGGGCAGAGTCAGCAGGCACCAGAACCCTGCTGAAGTGTGAGTCCTGCTCTGTGGAATGGGCTCCTGTACAGCTGATCCTCCACAGTGGTTGGTGGTCATAGCCAGTCCTGGTAGCTGATTGGCCTGGGGGTAAATCTGTCCTATTGATGTGCCAATAACAATCAAGGGTATACACAGCTACACTGGTGGTGAGGTGCACCTGGAGTGCAGAGCTTAGGTGATTGGGAAGGCTGTGCAACTCCCTACAGGGTACCTACTACATTAGTCCACTCTATCAAGATCAGGAATTATAGCAGCTCTACCTAATACATAGAAACAAACACAAGGAGGCTGTCAAAATGAGGAGGCAAAGAAACATGGCCCAAGTAAAAGAACAGAACAAAACTCCAGAAAAAAAACTAAACAAAATGGGGACCAGCAATGTACCAGATACAGAATTCAAAACATTGGTTATAAGGATGCTCAATGAACTTAGGGGGAAAGTAGCTGAATTTAGAGAGAACTTCAACAGCATAAAAAAGGGCATGAAACCCATAAAAAAGAACCAGTCAGAAATGAATAATACACTAACTGAAATGAAGAATAGTTTATAGGTGATCAACAGTGGAGTAGATGAAGCTGAGAATCAGAACAACAATTTGGAATATAAGGAAGCAAAAAACACCTAATCAAAACAGCAAAAAGGAAAAAGATCCATAAAAATAAATACACTATAAGGAGCCTCTCAGAAAACTTCAAGCTTACCAACATTTGCATCAAGGGGATTGACAGAAGGAGAAGAGAGAGAGTGAGAAATTAAAAACCTATTTGAAAAAATGATAGAAAATTTTCCTAACTTGATGAAGGAAATAGAAGTCCAGGAAGTGTAGAGGGTCATTAAAAGATGAACCCAAAGAGGCCCGCACCAAGACATATCATAATTAAAATTCAAAAGTTTAAAGACAAAAAGAGAATCTTAAAAGCAGCAAGAGAAAAGCAGTTAGTTATCTACAAGGGGGCTTCCATAAGACTATCAGCTGATTTCTCAACAGCAACTTTGTAAGCCAGGAAAGATTGGCAAGAAATATTCAAAGTCATGAAAAGCAGGGACCTACAACCAAGATTATTCTACCCAGCAAAGCTGTCATTTAGAATTGAAGGGCAGATAAAGAGCTTCCCAGACAAGAAAAAACTAAAGGAGTTCATCATCACCAAACCAGTATCACATGAAATGTTAAAGGGTTTTCTTTAAAGAGAAGGGGGAAAATTAAAAATATGGACAATAAAATGGCAATAAATACGTATGTTTCAACAAATGAATCTAAAAATAATAAATGAACAAGCAGAACAGAAACAGACTCATAGACATAGAGAACATTTTGACAGTTGCCAGATGGGAAGGTAGTTGGGAGACAGATGAAAAAGGTGAAGGTATTAAGAAGTACAAATTGGTTGTTACAGTATAGTCATGGGGATGTAAAGTACAGCTTAGAGAATATAGTCAATAATATACTAATAATTAATTATACATGTTGTCAAATGGGTACTAGATTTATTGGCATGATTGCTTAGTAAGTTATATAATGTCTAATCACTAGGGTGATTCACCTGAAACTAATATAATATTGTATGTCAACTGTAATTGAAAAATAAAAATGATTTAAATGAAAAAAGGAAGAAAATAGTTTCTCATTAGGGTAAGTTAAGAATTAATAAGAGGGTTTACTTTTAGCAGAATGAAGTTTCTCTGCAGATGCTTGAATGGTTGGAGTCCCCTATCATTGGGCATCTTGTTTCTGCCAATTTTTCTTTTTTCCAGAAAGCTGTATCCTCATTCCTTGCCTATGCAGGAGATTTGTAGTAAAACTGACACAACAGCATCTCCCTTTTACTCTCCTCTTTTCCTCCTCATCCATGCGTGGATGATGTTCTGTTCTTGCCCTTATGGATGTCTCCGCTCATGACAAACAGCACTGTCTTGCCATCTTTGACTCTGGATCTGCTTCTTTTGAACAAACTGCAAAATTCTCATTCATTGCCATTTCCTAGTTCCCAATGGTATATGAAAGAGCATCTTTAGCTCTTCATATTAGGACCAGAATTCCAGTTTGTTAATTAGTCATACTAGTTAACTGACATAGAAAGATTTCAGGCCAAAAGTGTGGTTCTTGACCCTCTTTCAATTTGTTACTGAGCATATGCACTATTTTTTAAAAACTCAAATATTGTTCTCCTTAATACCTATCACAAATCAATAGTACTTTCCTTAGGGATCTTATGAAGTTGGCTTTACCATATCTTTTGTTATGGAATAATGTTCAACCTGGTGTTATTCTCTAATTGTTTCATTTGTATAAGTCTATTTGTGTATGGTCAGTTTCCTTAATTAGATTATAACCTTCTGTTTATGGCATTCTCAGAGCATTATAAGGTTAAGTCTTATATTTGTCTAAGTTTTCATAGGTAGTAATAGATGATTGTTGACCAATGCCCCTTCATTCTACAAGTTAGCTTTAGGATCAACACTATCTATTATTTCTCTAGTGAGTTATTTGTTGGCACTGGGGCTATCCCTTACAGAACCCACTGGTATAGGTCAGTGACCCATTATGTGTTCATATGCTTTACCAGCAGAGTCTGAATTGGGAAGACAGGGTGGTTTCTAGTGTGTCCTGATCTCTACCTACTCATAGCCCCTATGGTTTGCCTTAAATAGCTCAATCAGTTGCCTTATGGACACTCAGTAATCATCTGAACCAAACGAAATGGAATGTGGCTTAGACTGATTTCTCCAAATGGCACCTGAGGCAGATGAGTCCCTTAGTAAATTTTCAGAAAGGTGCTCTGCTAGTTATTGTCCTCAGCTGCCACTCCAATTCAGTACAATACTGGCAGAGGAGAAAGTGTTAATATTCCTCTAGGATTCTAACTCCTCTCCCCCTAGTGCCCCCAACAATCACACTCAGAGGTGAGGCCATTATTGCCATGGACACTGGCCAAGTGTTGCAACCAGAAGTAGAGCAGTAGGGAACCCCTAGCCCTGGAAGCAGAGCTTTTAGATAAAATGATGGAAATTCCACTCTTGGCCATCAGTTTGGCTGAACACATGTGAAAATGCCCCCAATCCCTGTATCAGGATGGAGGGACCTAGAAAGGAGGCAGGAGCACTCAGGAACACATCCCAAAACAAAATCAGGGGAGTCTCGGCTCTCCTGTCCCTCATTGTTAACTCAACATTCTCACTTCTTTGGGTCTGTTGATACCACCATCAGACTCCAAGGAGTGTGGCGCTACTGAGGCAGTGATGGGAACATGAGTGGCTGTGTCCGATGGGGAAAACTGCACACTTCTCCCATCCTCTCTGGATTCTTCATCAATCATTCATGTATTTTTGCCTCATCTCTCCTGCTAGGTAATGAAGAGTTTGAACACAGGACCATAACTTAATTTTTTTCTCATATTACCCACTGGGTTCCTAATGGAGCACAGCGTGTGTTCATTGTTTTAACTGTTTTTATGAAGTACACCAAATCAAATAGGCTTAAATCCTAAGAAAAATAAGATCTATACCTACCAGTGGTCGAAGGTCAGGGTGTGAGAGGATGTAGCCATTGTTAGTGTTCAAAAAGGCATATCCATGTACTCCAAGCTACAAAGACAGGGGTGGAGGGAAGTCAGAGTTGTTTGTGTTGGAGAACTGCAGTTGAGGAGAGTTTGGGGCTACAGGGTGGTTAAAGATGGCAGCACACAGCAGTGAGATTTTCAGATAGGAAATCACTGAGCCAGTGCTGCACTTCCAGTCATTCATTTTGAATTCCTTTCCTAATTCTACTGTTTATGACAGCCATAATTATGTATATCATTACCTGGCCTCTTTCCTACCATATGTTTTAGGTGCTTTGATGATAATATCATTTGTTCCCAAAATGAAACCATAAGGCCTGGAGGAGTGGATTGAGAAACTGAAGCACCAGAAAGGGAAAGCACTTGCCCAAGGCCACAGAGCAAATCAAATCTGGTGGTAACAAAGGGTCCCAGGTGTTCAAGCCACTACTCTCAAGTTCAATGCCTGCACTTCTCTGGGGGTGGGGAGAAGGACCCCGTTCCAGCTCTGGGCTTGGCTGTGCTGTCTGCATAGAGGCCCCTGAGCCTGGTGGGGCAGCTCCTGGGGAGCCTGTGAGCACCACTCAGGGACCTGACCCAAGCTCACCTTGTACCGGGGTGCCAGCTTCATCAGCTCTCTCAGGGACACATCAGAGCCCACTACCCCTAGAAGAATGCCGTGGGACCGCTGGAAAGACAAAAAGGTCAGGGGGAGATTTGGCCTCCCTGAACACAGGGCCAGGCTGGACCTCAGCCTTGCTAGAACCTGGGAGAGGAGGCCTCTTGGGTTGTATGTTGCCCTTCCTTCATGGTTAGATTTTAAGCTGAGCTTTCTGGAATAAAATCAAGAACCTAGCAGGGAGACCCCAGGAGTAATCTTAACTGCTGGGAAGATTAATAATGTCCAACATTAATATTTAAGTTGTATTTAAATGAAATATAAAGTTGAATGAAATATTCACCTTCACAGCAGAAGCTGAAGGATCAGGATCCCAGGATCCCTCACCTATGATCTGGAACACACAGTGCTTATAAGGAAACATTTCCTGACCAGATGGAAGGTGGAAGACTCTAGAAATTCCCTTACCAGAGGCCTTTACAAACAAGTTACAGCCTTCCCAAACTGGTAGGTTAAGCGTGTATGGTTTTGCAGAAGGCTGGCAGGTGACCCTATTAGTCCTATATCCCCAGGACAGTGGTCCCCAAGCTGGCTGAGCAGAATCACTGGAGAGTTTTGGGAAGTCCAGACCAAACCCCAGCCCTCATCCCCTACCCACTCCCGACCAAGAGATTCTGACATAGCTGGTTGGGCACAGGGCCTTGAATCTGCATTAACAGCTCTCCTAATGTGGCTCTGATGCCCAGCCAAGCCAAGAACCATTGATCTAAAAATGCCGGTGGGGGCCCCAAGTTCTAGTCCTTGCTGCAGCTTCACGAGAGTGGTCACTCACCGTTTCATTCTTCTTGCTGAAGACTGGCATGGCTACTGTGGTGAGGAGCCTCAGGTTCTGTGCATGTGAGGTGAAGAGCTGCCAGGAAGGAAAGAACAAGGGACAGAGGGCTCAGAGTCCACAAGGCAGAGGACCCACAGTCACCAACATCAACTACTGTGTCACCTTCCAACAGGAGGAAGCAATCCCAAATGAGGTTTCCCTTCTCCAAAAAGGGAGAGCTGGCAGAAAGGCTGGAGGGGAGGTGGGCTAGGGAGACAGACCAGGCCAATGTCACTTAGCAAGGAAAATTCTGAGCCAGGGCAAGTCTCTGAATCCCAGAGCCCACAGCCCAGCTCCCAAGCATGCTCACTAAGCCCTCTTGTCTCAGATGAGCACAAACCCATGGAATAGGCCCATCCCAGGCATGCCCAGAAACAAAGAGGTGAGTATAGCAAGAACTCTTCCAAAAATCTCTGCCTTAGACCCAGGGTTGGCACAAACTATAGCCCAGATGAGTTAAGAGGGAAAGGGACATTGACACAGAGCCACTGGCAAACTCAAGCACATGGTGAGGGGCCACAGTGCCAGAGCCAGACATGGTGTGGTTGTATTAGCCTCCAGTCACCATTGCCCCCTTCACACACACACACACACACACACACACACACACACACACACATACTCACACACACACACACACACACACACACACGATGAGCCCACAGCCTCTTCCCCACTCTGAACACCTGAGCCACATCATTCCCAGCCACTGACATGGCCCTCCTCCTGCTCCTCATCTCCCTGTGCTGGCTCCTCCAGTCCCCTTGGCAGGGGCTCCACATATGTTTCCGCTTTATCATGAAGATAGAACCTGAGAAGTAGTATGTGCAGGAGTGTAGTGTCTGATAGGTCTGACTTTCCTCAGGGTCAACTAAAGGAGCGTGCCCAGCCATGGAGGTCTATGGTAGAACTCAGAGAATGAGGAACTTTTAACTGTCAGGTACCCTCCCCCTTCCTCATCAGATTTTTCAGTTTAGAGTTTAGAAGTGAGGCTTTCTAAAAGTGAATGGCTTCTGTTAACTAGAGTTCCACTATCCACTTGGAACAAGAGGTCCGTAGGGATGGCCAAGGGGACAGCAGGAAAGGGTCTGATCCCTGGTGACCAGGGAGCCCCTTATTGGCTCTGGGCCAGCTGCCTCTCTTACAATGGGGAAAAGCACACTTTTATTTAAGTCACTACTCCCAGGTCTCTCTTAATCCCAGTCTGATGCATCAGCTTTGTGTAAATCATTGCTGCCTACAGGCAGGGGCTGGGAGGGGGTCCTTGATGAAGCTATAGAATCTTGAATTACTAGTCGGACTCCTTTTAAAAAAATGGGGCGGGGGAGAGGATAATGAAGGGGGTGAGAACAACAGGAAGGAGGGTGAACAAGTTTGGAGCAGAGGGGCTCCATCCACAAAGGGCCACCCTGGACAGGCCAACTCAGGGTGTCAGGGCCTTCAGGGAAGCACTCAGGCAGTGCGTCTGCTGGTGGGGGACAGTGCTCATTCCCTTCACATTTCCCAAGGATGTGATTGCTTTCCCCATTCCTTACCCAGGAAGTCACCTCTTATGCTCTGGGGCCCCTAACTCTGGCGTGGGGTCAGGGCCTCACCTTGCTGTCCATGTAGGCTTCAGTCCAGATGATGTCGTGGTCATGATTGATGACCATGGGGCGGCTGAGCACATGCAGGTACTCCATCACGTTCTCCTGAGCGTCAGCCAGCGTGGAGATCTGTGTGTAGTAGCCTGGAGGAGGGGATGGGCCATGTGGGTTGTGGACAGCTGGGTGCTCCATGAGTAACTCCTCTGCAGGGCCCACACTCTCCCCAGCTGCTGATGTCTCATGGCTGAAGCACTGGGAACTGCTTTCTCCAAGATTGTCCCTTTTCCAGGGAGCAGCCATGGACCAGTGGCACTGATGGGGATTCAAAGGCCCAGCTTCTGCTTCAACCTCGGAGAACTGTCAGGGACTGTTCCAGCTCCAGAGCTGACACAGAAGCTGCAGGGCCCCCAATGCAAGGGCCTTTGGGTCAGCCTCCCTCTCTCGCAATGCTGTTCTCCTTCCTTCCTTATAAGGGGATCCCCTTTTGCATGCAACTCTGTCCCAGGGTCTACTTTCAGGGACAGGCTGCAAGGCTCTGCCACCTACCTTTATTGTTGCATGCGATCCACTTCATGCGGTCTGCAAAAGTGACTTCTCTCCCAATAAGATAAGTGAAAACTCGAACCTATTCCACAAGACACAGACAGACTCAGCAGCCATAATTCCCGGTGGTGAGTAATGTTAACACAATTTATGTGAGTCTTTGATGTCTGTCTGTCGAGTGCTTTGCCCACTTTGCTTCCTCCATTCTCACTCCTTTGGCTCAGAAAGGTCCCTGGGGCCCAGGCTGTACTGGGACTGGCCAGGGCAGTTTTCGTGTCTCACCATGATACTCGGGTCTCTCCCCCTGAGCCCTCTTGCATGAGTCCTCTGTGCCTAGAGTCACCGCAACTTTGGAACACCAGTCTGGGACATTTGAATTTACTATTGGGCTAGTGGGTAGACCATTTGAACTCAGGGCAGGCCTGCCTTTTGCTCCCCATGCCCTGACCCCTTCACCCCTCTCCTGCCACCAGAGAGTAACCTTGCGGTCCGGCCAGTTGTATTCCTCAAACACAGGCTCATAGTCCTCCACAGCTCCGTCCGAGATCAGCATGATGGCCTGGTTGCAGAGGCTTCCTTGCTTGGCCTCTTGGGACTGTGCAGGGGAGGGGTGGCTCCATGACTACAGGCTAGGAGCTGCCCTCCCCATGCCTCCAGGCTGTCCCCCACCCCTCCACTCTCCTTTGGCTTCCTCAAGGGCAGTACCTGCTTCAGGATCTGGAAGGCTTCCCTCAGGGCTTGGTCCACGACCCCCACCCCTTTAACCATCAGGTCATCCACCAGCTGTTTGAAATGCTATTGTGGGTAAGAAACCAGAGGCATGTCAATGGATCTAGTGGGCCAGGGACTTAATTTCAGAGGTTATTTGGAGCTACTTGCCCAGAAGGACATTACAGTTGGACTCTCACAGCAGATGCTCTCAAATGCCCCCAAGATAAACTGAGAGTGTGAGCAGCTGGGCACAAATCTATCCCCATTACTGGAAGGAAATGCCAGTGTGGATCCAACCAGAGTGAGGAGGCCAGCCCAGACCAATGCCCAGGCTCCCAGGTCCCCAGCAGCCTCAGCATCTCAGCTCTTCCTCCAGTGGTGTGGAGATGGCCAGGGGTTCTGTGGCCAGGGGCTCCAACTTAATGCCAAAATTCAGAGAAAGCCACACCCAAATTCCCCAGACACAGAGGGAAGGATCTCTCCCTTGGCCTTTGGAAAGGACTCAATAGAGTGGATTTGAATTTCTCCCCCTTCTGAGGAAGCCTCCTTATGAAAATTGCCATAGTGAAAAGGCCCAGGGGGAGGCAAATTGAGTACTGGCTAATCCACAGAGTAACAAACCAGTCCTGGAGAAGTGACATTTTCCTCAGATGGGAGGTATCTGAGGAAAAGGCACACTATTCGCTGTGATAGGCAGGCAGCGTAACCATGGGGGCAATTTCCTGAGTGTGTTTGTGTGGGTAACTGCAAATGAGCTTTGTCCCTTTCCAAGTGCCATGGGAATGAGGGAAAGGGGCTGTCAGGCAGCTGCACAGATGACTCCTATCATTCCTAAGCAGAACAGGGGCTCCAAAGCATTAGGCACTCACCTGATGTGGAAACTCACCTCACGGTTGTCTCGATTGGCCTGAACAAGGATCCCTTTGAAACAAGGCTCGATGTAATGGATGTAGTCATTGTACTGTGGTTGCAGAGGGCAGAGAGGAGGGGGGAACAGACAGGGTCCATTTGGAAAGTCAGGGACCAGTGATGAGGCTCAGACAACTCACCAGGTGGTCAGGGCTGGAGTCACCTAGGCGCCTGTGTATATTATCTTGTGGAACCCTATGCTACAGGCAACTTTTCTGAGTACAGAGGTGGGAGTGCAGAGAACAGCAGGGCCTTCACTCTAAAAATTCACCCTCAAGTTTTGGTCTTGGTTCATTTTCTCAGGTGTCTGAATCATGCCTGTCTCCTAGGGCACATAGAGAATTGCAGGTTACTGAGAGAATTCCTCTGGTCTCTGCCACCGAGACCAGACCAAGTGCCTTCCATGGGACTCTCAGAGCCTTCCAAGTATAGACCCCTCCCCAGTGTCTGGGTGAAGGGATTAGGAACTGTGCTCCTTTTTCTCTTTGCTCTGCATTTATGAAGAGGGTCCTTCAGCTATTGACAGGCTCTGAGGGAGGTACATCTCCACTCTTGTGTGGGGGTGAGACCTGTTCCCATAGAAGTACTCTCTCTGCTGCAGGTCAGGAACAAGGATGGGTTGGCAGTGGAGATGGTGAGCACAGGGTCCAGGAGTGATGTGGGTGGTTAAGTGATGCAGGCCTCGGGGAGCAGCTCAGGGATGAGGGGGCCATTCTCTTCTCCCCAGGGTGGCCATTTTAAAGTTAGACCATTTTGCTTTGGTATTTCTTTATGAGGTAAATAAATCCCACTAAAGATGATCATTTTCAGCCATTTGGCAGGCTGGTGGAGGAAAGTCTTGAATCAGATAGCCTTCAAACCGGTACCCACGTGGCTGTCAGCTCCCACGCCCCACTTCTCTCATTGCATTTGGAAGCATTCTCCTAACTTGTCCTCTTTTCTTCCTGTTCTCTCTCCCAAACTTTACCTCTCTGGGGGCAGAAAGAGCTAGGAAGAGTTGCTGTGAAAGCAGGACCAGGATTTGTTGGTCCTGTCTATGTGTCCCACTACTTTCTCCTTTCTCCTGATGTGTCTGGATTTGGGATAAAGGAAGTGGGAGAACTGGGATTGTTGCAAAGCAGGAGCCCAGGGATCACTCGTCCTATAGCAGAATGCAGAGGCTGTTCAGGGATGGGCACCAGTCAAGAGCACATGGATGGGATGAATCAGGGTTTGCTCAAGGCCAGTGCTTCTTCATCTTTGTTACATCCCAGACTTACCTGAATTAATGAACCCTATGGACTCAGAAAAGTGAACATACACATAATTTCAAAAACTCTACGGACCTCTTGCAGTCCATCCCTGGTCTGACCCTCAACTAGGAGCCCCAGCTGCAGAGGAATTATTCTACAGCATGAAGCATTGTGTGTTTGTAGGTACAGGTCATTACAGTGCAGGTGGCAGAAGTTTTTTTTAGAAACAAGGGAGAGTTATTCAAGAGTAGGAAGGCACATTTACCGCAATGATATTAACAAAGTCATTCTCTCCCAGTGTGTCTAAGATGGTGGAGATAGTATGCTTGGCTATTGTCATCCACAGCCCCTTCATGCTGCCACTCGTGTCCAGCACAATAACTATGTCCTTGGGAGAAGTAGCAGCTTGTATGTACCTTTAGCAGAAAGAAAGGGACAGGTCAATGACGGGAAGATCAGAGCCAGAGCAACCACCCAACCTAGTCTCATTATTTCTGTTTGTATTCAGTTTAGATAGGTGCCCCATTGATGCTAGGTTGTATCATGTTCCATAACCAATTAGCATAGTTCTAAAATCATTTGGGAGCAACAGCTGGTCATGTGCGCATCTAATGGGCCTGTCAGGTGCGAGAAAGGTCAAGTTTTGCTGGTGACCTTATCCTCCATGTTTTGAACCAGCCAGGATCCTGGAGGGGTGGGCAGCAGGAAGGGAGACAACTGGGCTCTGCCCTCAGATTCTGTTATAAATCTGCCTGAGGAGGGGTGTGGAAGGAGAGGACAGCCTGGCAGAAGGTGGATTTGGAGATAGCCCAGTGTCCTGGAGGGAGCTGAGGGGCAGGAAAGACAAATGTGATTGGTCAGGCAGCAAGGACACCCACGGCGAGAAGGAAGGAAGACAACTTCCTGCTCTTGTGTTGGGTTAAGGTTCAACACACCTGAGACCCTTGGACTGGGGGGCAGAGACTGGAGGAGAATGGTGCAAGACTCAAAGTGTATAAGATGGATGCCAGCACCAGAGACCTCCCCCCAGGAGCTCTTACCAGCCACGGTTCCGGCAGTCGAAGGTGATGACTCCATTCTCATCAGGCGTCCATTTGATGCCTGGGGAAACAAAGGCTGGTTCTTTCACTGGCTCAGTGAGTCTGGTTCAGAGCCCCTGGAATGCCATGACCCCCAGGGAAAGCCAGCCATGGACCTGTGTAGCAGGGTCTAGAGTACCCTGTAAACAGAGGCAATAGGCAATGGGGAGGCTGGATCGATGGAGGGACACTTACCACCCACTCTCCTCAGATTCAAAGTTGGGGTGACTTTCACAGTAGGGCTCCTAAATACTGTGCCTAAGATTCATTTGTGAACTAAGCTTCACATTGAATTGTGGAAGGGGAAGCTTCAGGAAGGCATGACTTTTAACATCCATTACTATCTGCCAAAAGCGTAGACAGAGTGTTGAGAGACCCAGGTGCTCTGACTCCTAGCCCATCTGCCTCCAGTCAGGTTGCCTGTTAGTGCTCACAATCCTTCTTGTTAGCTGGCTGGGAGAAATGATTTGGTTGCAAGACTATAAGCTCCTTGAGGTCAGGGATTCCAAGTACCCACACACCTTGTTTTATTGCCCTTGCTTTATGGCATTTCAAAGGTGCTGCATTGTTTACAGACTGAAGGCAAGGCCTTTCATCAGCAAAAATATTAGGACTTGCTCTCTTGAGAAACTCACTGTGGTGGTCTGGAACTGAACCTGCAATATCTCCAAGGTCTGCCTATACCTGGCACGGTGTCTGACATGGCACTGAGAAGACCTCATGGTCAATAAATATTTGTCATATAAATGAAACAACAAATACATGAGTATTAAAGATCTTGCCTTGACCCACTAGCAGAGTGCTGGGGTAGATTTTGTTCTATTCATCTAATCAAAAATTGGGATAAATGCACACAAAGCACAGGTAACACTGACATGCTCCATGATAGCATCCCTATTTAAAAATAGTGATTGGGAAGAGTGGGTTCACAATAAGATATTAAAAATAATAGGTGAAATTATATTATGCTGTGTTTGGGCTAGAAACCCCCCCCCCCAAAACAAAACTGTGGCCATATCATGAACGTCTAGAAGCTCTAAGGGATCTTCCTATTCCACAGCAATTAGACTTCAGATGAGATATACACCTTGAGGCATTGCTGGTCTGTCAAAGGGAGAAGTTTGCAAGGATCAGGTCATGCTACCCAAACCAAACAACTAGGGGCAGAGTTCCAAGGGGGAGGGGCAGGGACCAGAACAGTGAGGAGGCACAGGCTGGCAGTTCCCCTGGAAGCAGGATGGAGCCACGGGCAGAGCTGTGTGGGGGGAGACTGAGCAGCATGGCTCTGACATGGACCTGCAGCAGCTGGTGAGCAGTAGAGTTTCCTAAGGCCACATTCCCATGGCAGCATGGTTGTGAGGAATTTGATCCTTGAACAATAACAAGAAACAGAAAGAGAGTCTGAGGTTCTGGGCTCTGAAGCAGAACATTGAAAGGTGGCTTTGGTGGTTCTAGGTGGGGGTACCCTCGACTCCAACAAGAAATAGAAGTGACTCTTTTGAAGGGGAGCTTTTCAAATCAGGCCTGTAGGGATCCCACAGATTACAAGCAGCATGACCTCACAAACAAAGATTACCAAATATACTAGAAACAGGCCCCTATGAGTGAGAGGCAGCAGCAGCAAGAACTACCACATGTATCCTTCTAAGGATTACAGGTGTTGGAACTACCAAATACAAAATATAGGATAGCTATTTGGAGACATCACAAGAAAAAATATACAACAAGAAATGATTAGAAACAAAGAAACAGCCTTTTAAATACAGAATTTTTGTAAACAAAAAAAGTTAAACAAATAAATGCATAGTGGATTATTCACAGGTAAAGAAGAATATTCAATCAACAGGACAAACAAGCAAGCAAAATATAACCAGAGACATTGAAATAAAGAACAAACTGACAGTAACCAGAGGGGAGGGAAGGGAGATAACAGGGGAAAGAAGGGGAAGGGTCATCAAGGAACATGTGTAAAGGACACATGGACAAAGCCAAAGTGGGGGAGGATTGAAGGTGGGAGGTGGGGGTGACTGGGGCAGAGGAAAGTGGTGGCAGGAAAATGGAGACAACTGTACTTGAACAACAATAAAATGATTTTAAGTAAAAGAAAAAATCAGGCATTTGAAGGATTTGTCCAGAATCCTGTGGAAGCTAAAATAGGAAGATTTAACAAATTTCTTACTGGAGACATAGAAAGAGAAAAGGGAGAACACAAGGAAACACCATGGTTACAAAGACAGTGACAGGGAATGTTCTGGAACTGATGAAAATATGAACCCACAGATCCCAGGAAGCACAGTATATCCCAACAGGATAAATAAAAAGATGCCCACTTGCAGACACATAGTAGTGAAGCTGCAGAACTCCAAAGGGAAATAAATAAATAAATAAATAAATAAATAAATAAATAAATAAATACCTTGAAAGCAGCCAGAAAAGCTAAAACATTTACTTTCAAAGGAAAAGCAGTTAAACTAATAGCAGATTTTCTCAACATCAGTGGAAGCCAGAAGGCAGTAGAACAAAGTTTTAAGGTCTTGAGAGAAACTAATTGTTAATTTAGAAATGCATATCCAGCAGAACTGTCACTCCAGAATGGGGGTAGAAGACTGCAGTGTTGTTTTCTGAATTCTCCTTGGGGTGTCCATTCCCCTAAGCCATTATCTACTGTAAGCCGTTTCTCAGGGCTGTGTCACTAAATGGAGGCTCAGTCCGTCACTTGTCTCCAGTAGGAAAGAAATAGGATTTGACCTTTCCTGCTTAAATAGGAAATTACTTGTGTAGCTTGCAAAAATAAAAAAGAATACCTTCAAATTTTTGAAAAAAGATGAGGATAATATAAAACATGTGTAGATAACACAAGCTGAAGCAGCTTAACACTAAGAGGCCTGCTACAAAGGAACCTCTGGAGATTTGCCTCAAGGAAGAGCTGGACCTTGGAAAGACAGCTGGCAGTGCTTGAAGGGGCGGTGGGCAAACAAAATGGTAAATGGCAGTTAATACCAAACAAGCAATGTTTGCATCAAGTAACAGTCACAGTATCTAGTTTGTAGGGATAAAAAGGGAAAATATTAGATGACAGCAGGATGGAAATCAGTGTGGAAGAAGGAGATGCAAGTGAAAGACCTCTAAGTCCTTTCTGATTGAAAAAGGGGTAAAAATATTGCTTAATTTTAATATTTTGTTAAATATTCCTGATAAGGGGTGATTACTAAAAGAATAAAAATAGAAGAATAAGTTCTAAACTGAGAGAAAGAAAAAGAGAATTAACAGGAGATTTATCAAAAAAAGTTTAATCATTAAAAAAGATAAAAAACAAGAAAAAGGAAACAAAAAAGAGAGGGACAAATACAAATGATAAGAATTACAACAAGCATGTTTAAATATATCAATACAATGAACGTAAATGTGCTTAACTTGCCAACTAGTAAAAGGGATTGTAATTTTGGATGAAAATTTAAAAGCTATAGGCTATTTTCAAAAGATATGACTAAAACAAAATGACATAGAAGTTTGAAAGTAAAATGATAGGAAAAATATATATCAGGATAATCAAGAACATGTTGGTATTTCTTATAATTATCAGTGAAAACAGACTTAAAATACAAAGTGTTATAAGGGCTATCAAGGGTCAAGCAGACATAAAATCAGCAAAGACATAGAAAATTTAAACAGTATAATTAACAAGCTTATCTAATCACACATGCAGTTTTTCATCCCACAAGTAGAGCACACATATTCTTCTCATATACACACAGAATATTTATAAAAATTAATGACATACTAGGCTACTAAATGAAATCTTAACTAATTTCATGTGATCAGTACCACATATACCATATTCTCTGTCTACAAAGCAATTCAGTTAGAAATTTATCATAAAACATAAATATAAAATCCTTATATATTTGGATACTTTAAAACACACTTTTAAATAACAAAAAAATAAAAGATGAAACCACAGGAAAATTTAAAAATATTTAGAAACAAATGATAATTAAAATAGTACCATAACACTAAAACCACAGGTAATAAATTTCTGTGTATTAAATGACATCATCAACAGAGTAAAAAGGAAATCCATGGAATGGGAGAAAATATGTGCAAACAATATATCTGATAAGAGGTTAATATCCACAATATATATAAAATCCCTACAACTCAATAACAGAAAAACAAACACATTAAAAAATGAGCAAAGGACTAGAATAGACATTTCTCCCAAGAAGATATACCAATGGCCAAAAAGCACATGAAAAGATGCTCAACATCACTATTGTTAGGGGAATGAAAACCAAAACCATGATGAAATACAACTCACATACAGTAGGATGGCTACTCTTAGAAACAAAACAAAACAACAAAATAACAATGATGTAGAGAAATTGGAATCCTTGGGCATTATTGGTGAAAATGTAAATTGGCACAGTTACTATGGAAAATGGCATGGAAGTTCCTCCAAAATTAAAAACAAAATTACCATGTGATCCAGGAATTCCACTTCTCAGTACATCCATAAAATAACTGAAGGCAGGGTCTCAAAGAGGTATTTGTACATCCATACTCATAGCAGAATTATCCACAATAGCTAAAATGTGGAAGCAACTCAAATATCCATTGACAGATGAATGAATAAACAAAATGCATTATATCCATACAATGGAATAGTTTTCAGCTTTATAAAGGAGGAAAATTCTAATGCATTTTACAACATGAATGAACCTTGAGGATATTACACTAAGTTAAATCAGCCAGTCATAAAAAGACAAATACTGTAAGATTCTACTTATATGAGGTATCTATAGTAGCCAAATAATAGAGATAGAAGGTAGAATGGTGGTTGTCAGGGGCTGGGGGAGGAGGGAGAGGTGAGCTACTGTTTAATATGTATAGAGTTTCAGTTCTGCAAGATCAAGAGAGTTCTGGAGGTGGATGTTGGTGATGGCCACACACCAACGTGAATGTATGTAATGCCACTGAATCATATACCTGAAAATGGTTAGAATGGTAAAATTTGTATGTATTTTACTATAATAATAAAAAAACCCCACTACCAATCAAAACTTGTGAAATGGGGCCAAAGTACAGTTTCTAGGGGTAATATAGAGCCATAAACTCTTATTTTAGAATCAAAGAAAGTCTACAAATTAAAGCTAAGTGTTCAGTTTAGTAAGTTAGGAGAAGATACAACAGAATAAAAGAGAAAAAGAAGATAAAGCTAAAATAGGTAAAATAAAAAACAAAGAAATAATACAAGGCAATCAAGGAATACAAAAGATGATTCCCGAAAAGACAACAAAATAGTGAAATCAGTAGTAGATTGATAACGAAAAAATAAATAGTAATACAAATAAAAGGGGGACATGATTATAGATACAGTGAAGATTTAAAAAATAATAAGAATAATAGTTTCATGGACATAGATTTGAAGACTCAGATGAATTGGGTGGATTCTTAGAAAAAGTATTTTATCAAATTAAGAAGAAACAGAAAGTCATATTTGTCTTACAAGTATTAAATAAATTGAAGTGATAATTAAAAAATCTTCCCATAGAGAAAACATCATGTCTATATAATTTTATAAATAAAGTCTGCCAAGCTTTCAAGGAAAATGTTATTCTAATCTTATATAAACACTCCCAGAAACCAGAAAAAGAGGAAATACTCCCCAGTTTATCCAATGAAGCTAGTATAATTTTGAAAAACAGACAAAAAGGGCATGCAAAAAAGAAAAATTACAAGACTATTTCACTGAAAAATATAGATGCAATAATTCTAAACAGAATATTAGTAAACTAAATCCAACAATGCACAAAAGACTAGCATACTGTAATCAAGTTAGGTTTACCATAGGAATGCAAGGATGGGTTAATAGAAATTCAATAGATAATTAGGCAAAATTATCTATTATCTTCTTCTGTGAAATGCCTATTATCTAATATTATCTAATAGGCATTTCACAGAGGAAGAAATACATACAACAAATGACATATAAAGAGTTGCTCAGTTTCACAAGTTATCAGAAAAATTCAATGCCAGATCACAATGAAATATAATTTTATACTAAGAAATTATTAAAAAATTTAAGAGTTCACTGATACCCAGGGTTTGAGAAAATGTGGATCAACAGGTTCTCTTATTCATTGTTGGTGGGAATATAATTGGTACAAGCATTTTGGAAAACAATTTGACATTTCCTTGTTATAGATGAACAGTCTTATGTCTTAGGATCTAGCAATTCCATTCCTGGGAATGTGCCCAAGAGAACCACTTATTAGACTGTTCATGACAACACTGTTCATCAAAGTAAAAAACAAAGAAGAAAAACAAACCTATGAACAATCAAGATAGGATCAGGAGGATGGATAAATGGATATATTGACCTCAAGGAATATGATACAGGAACAAAAATGACAAAATATAGCCATATGTGACAACCTAATGAATCTTGGTAGTATAATATTGAATGGAAAGCAAGTTCTAAAAATCTACATCAGAAACCAGTTTTATAAATTTTAAAAACAAGCAAAACAAAACAATATATTGTTTAAGCAGATGTATGTGTATAAACATAAGATAAAACTAAATAAGTAAACAGACAGCCAAAAAACACAAATACAGTGATAAGCTCATAATTCAGCTGTTACCCAGTCAGTTGTGGGGATGGGGGAACGAGGGGGAGGAGAGGGTGAGAGAGAGAAAGAGCACATACATAAATAGAAATTGTTGGTAGTCTAGTTTTTGTGTTAGGCCTGCATGCATGCATGGGGATAGCACACTGTGATCAAGATTATAGCCAACCCCACATTATCTACCTGAGGCTGATATGTATCTGTAATGTGGGTATGGGTGAGAAATACTCTCTCTACTAAGATGATGGCTCACACCTGGATTGTGTTATTTGCACACAACTTGACTTCTCTGGAAACCTTGATGTGGCAAGAATATATACAGGAATTGTACCCTGGAGAAGACTTGATAGAACTATGGGTTGTCTTTGAGTATTTGAAGGGTTGTTACACGGAAGAGGGATAAACTTGTTTACTGAGGCTCCAGAGAACAGAAGAACCAATGGCTAGTAGTGGGTTTGGGCAGAGAAACAGGAAGGAGCAGGCTAACTAATGGAAGACTCATGAGCTCCAGGGCCCCTCTGTGCTCCTAGAGAGAAGTTGGCTTTTCTAGTCTGAGCACACAGAAGGGTCCTTTAGGATCTTTCTGATTTTCTGTCTCAGGAAAACAGGGCAATGTCAAGACTTTGGACAGTGTGCTAAAACATAAAAATGTGTTGGAGTAAAATATGGAGGTGAATTATTTTAAATGGGAAGTTAAAAAAAGAACTTTCACAAATTTTGTGGTAGATTTTTTGTTTTATATTTTTATTAGTAGACAAAGGAGCTTTCCCCATCATATTTGTTAGGTTGGTCACTTATCACATCATGACCCATGATATCTCTACATTGCTACCGAACATGTTAAATTGAATGTGCCCCATTTCTCCAATTAAGATGTAAACTTCTTAAGATCAAGAATTGTTTTTATTCTCCTTTGCATCTTCCACAATGATTTTCATAAGACAAGGGTTCAATGTGGGCATTTATTGGCTGATTACCTTGGTGTTTCATTCATTCACTCATTCAACAGCTCTTTGTTGAAAATGTGCATATCATGTTGTGAAGAGTGTCAAAGTGTGGGTTGGAGGTGTCTTTGGATAGCAGGGTCAACTCCATTTACCAGGGGTCTGAGTGACAAGGTCTATCTTCAATACCCCTATTGCCTTATTCCCAGAGAAAAAGCCCAGAGGACTTGGAGATGCCTGTCATGTCCTTACCTGGATAGATCCTAAAGAATCCAGTTGAGCTGCCAAAATATTGCCAGGTCAGTGTTGGATCTCTCTGGAAGTTCTCCACAAAAACAGTGTTCAAGGCTTCAGACATGTAGACTCCGTTTAAAATATCTGGGTCTAAAGGGTGAGATTGTAGAAGGAATTGCAGGGGATACTAAATCAGGAATAACAGTGACCAGTTCTTTACCCTCTAAACACACACACTAGCACATGTGCACACACATGCACATACACATAAGCATGCACACACAGCCTGCAGTGATGTAGTTCATAACTTCCCTCTCACATCCTCACGCGGAGAGCCACACTCACACTCCCAGCCAGGAGCACGGAGCTGTCTCCAAGCCCAAGCTCCTGTGGAAGTATTCCCCATCCTCAGTCAGGGCAGTTGGAGAATCAGTTTACACCCTGACAGGCTTGTCAGGAAAATGGGGGCAAATCATTAACCCCCACCAACCACCCAACAACCATACCAGGCCATGGGGCAGGGACTACCTTTGTTGTACACGTTGGTGGGCAGCTGCACACTACTGAGGGACGTGTTCACCATCAGGTTGCTGAAGTGCGCATTGGACTCGAGGACAAACTCAGCCCCCAGCTCCACGTACTTGCCATTTGCATCCCTCTCATTGATCAGGACTGAGTTGTAATAGTCAAACTATGGTGGAGGGGAGTGGCCAGACAAAGACAGTGAAGACAGGGTCTCACCAAGTGAGCCAGAGAAATGCAAATGAAGCAATCAGAAGACTCAGATGGGAGAGACATCAGGCAGACTGACAGCTTCCACACAAGCTCCGTCTGTGGGGTATTCAGGCAATGACTCACAGGATTTGGGGCAAATACATGTCCAGATAATTAGAGCAGATGGTTGATTTGATTGTGTTTTCATGAAAATTGTCTAGATTATTGCTCAGTTCTCCACTTTATCATGTGTGGACACAACCAGAGATGGAGACAGAGACATCCGGCAGATTCCAGGAGAGACAAAGACAGAGGCAGCTTTGTCATCATCACCAGTTCCTTCAGTGCAGAAAGACTCAGAGTGACTCAGATGGTGGTGCCCTGAGAAGGGAGGCCTCTCTCTTTAAGAGTGGGGACTGGGTCCCCATGTCCCCTGAGGAACCAGCAGTATGCCCTCTGCTCTTACACAGTGTTGGATCTGCTTGGATTACCACCTCGGAGCCATAATCAGACTCTCTTCCCAACTTTCTCCATACCACATGGTTCAGACTTGAAGAGCACCCTCAGTGCCCACCTTCACCCCACCCCCACCATGTCTTGCCCATATCACAATAGTGCTGCCATGAATCTGGGTCTGTCCCTCCCCAGCTCAAAACCTTCAATACGTGCCTTTCAGGCTGAATAAAGGCCAGAGCCCTATCTTTACTACAGTCATGTTCTGCTTCACCATCCCTTAGACATACAGAGCTGACTGCTGGCAATTTCCTCAACCTTGTGTATTTATTATTTCTTCTCACCCAGCTTAGAAACCCCTTCTTCATGCCTTCAGCTGCTCAATCCCCCTCAGCCTGGGCCAGCCCAGAGGCCACCCTGTCTGAGAGACTTTCTGAGCTCCTCCTCTTCCTTTCTGCATTGTGGGAACACCTGACCACCTGTATGGGCATGTTATAGAGTTATAATGTGCCCACCTGACCACCTGTATAGGCCTCATGCTAGAGTTATTTGGTCTATGAGCTTCTCGACTTTATCTGGGCAGAGGCTAGCATGTTGCATTGGGTGATCAATGACTATAGAAAGGTGGATTGCCACTCTACATGCCCAGCCCCAGGGTTTGGTTGCTGTCTCACCTACCTGGCCCATAAATCCCTTGACAAAAGACTCTGGAGCATTTCAGAATCAAATTATTGTAGGTTCATACAAATCCTGAGCACATTAAAAGATAGTGCTGCCCCGCCTACTCTTCATATCCTGTACTCAGATGACACTGTCCATCACCAGGAGCTCTAGAATCAATAGCACTCACCACCAGAGATTCATTGAATTCATGGTTCAGGTCAGCCTCCTCGGCAGCCTCTACCAGATTCTGAGGGACAGGAACACAAAGGGGAGAATCAGTGGGCCAAAGGAAGCCAGGTGGTTCTCAAATTCCATTCCTAAAAACATACCCGAGAGAATTGAAAACAGGTACTCAAACGACAGCTTATGCATAAATGTTCACAGCAGCACTCTTCACACTAGCCAAAAGGTAACTGCATATTTCCCAGTGGAAGAAGCCAGTCTGAAAAGGCTACCTGCTACCTGATTCCAATCACATGACATTGTGGAAAAGGCAAAACTATAGAAAGAGTAAAACATCCCTGTTTGCCAGGTGTTAGTAGGGATGGAGGGATGAATAGGTGGAAAACAGGATTTTTAGGGCAGTGGAACTATTCCGTGTGATCCCTGATGGCTGATGGATGTCATTATGTGTGTGTCAAAACCCACAGAATGTACAACGCAAAGAGTGAACCCTACTGTAAACTATGGATTTTGGGTGATAAAGATGTGTCAATGTAGTTCATCTGTTAAACCAAGGTACCACTCTGGCAGGGGACGTTGATAGTTGGGGAAGTTGTGTGTTTGTAGGAGCAGGGGCTATGTAGGAACTCTCTGTACTTTCTTCACAATTTTTCTATGAACCTAAAACTGCTCTAAAAAGAATAAATTTAAGTGTGTGTGTGTGTGTGTGTGTGTGTGTGTGTGTATTTAAATACATTCTGGTCATGTTAAAGTGTGCAATCCAGTGGCATTAGGACCATTCACAATATCATACAACTATCACTATCTAATTCCTGAACTTTCATCACCCCCAAAGAGAACCCTGTACCTACTAAATAATTACTCACATTCCTCTCTCTCCCTGTCTCCTGGCAACACCGATCTGCTTTCTGTCAATGATTTTCCTAGTCTACATATTTCACATACATGGAATCATACAGTATGTGAGCTTTTGTATCTGGAGTCTTTCACTGAGCATAATGTTTTCAAGGTTCATCTGTGTTTTTACATGTGTCAGAACTGCATTCCTTTTCATGGCTGAATAATATTCCATTTTATAGATATCTCATATTTTGTTTATCCATTCATCAGTCGATGGACAGTTGGGTTGTTTCCACCTTTCAGCTGCTGAATATAAATATATACAATTTTTATTGTCAATTATACCTCAATAAATATGTGGAAAAAAGAGGAGAAGACCTGAGGTCCTATTCTGGTTTTGTCAGGGCCAAGCCACTAAGCCTCTCTGAATTTATAAATTGGGTGGGAGGGTCCTTAACTTCCCTATTCCCAACCCCCAGTTCCTAGGATGTGATGAAGAAATTCCACAGGGCCAAACCAGGACTCATATCAACAGTTTGGAGAAAAAGGAAGAAATAAATATTCAACCAGAACAGAATGAAGAAACAAGAATTCAAAACCATGAGGAGAGGCTTAGGAACCTCCAGGCCAACTTTAAGCATTCCAACATCAGAAGCATAGGGGTACCAGAGGGAGAAGAGAAAGAGCAAGAAACTGAAAACATATTTGAAAAAATAATGAAGGAAGACTTCCCTAATCTGGCAAAGGAAATAGACTTCCAGGAAGTCCAGGAAGCTCAGAGAGTCCCAAAGAAGTTGGACCCAAGGAGGAATACACCAAGGCACATCATAATTACATTACCCAAGATTAAAGAGAAGGAGAGACTCTTAAAAGCAGCAAGAGAAAAGGAGACAGTTACCTACAAAGGAGTTCCATAAGACTGGCAGCTGGTTTCTGAAAAGACCTTACAGTCAAGAAGGGGCTGGAAAGAAGTATTCCAAATCATGAAAGGCAGGCACCTACATCCAAGATGACTCTCTCCAGCAAAGCTAACACTTAGAATGGAAGGGCAGATCAAGTGCTTCTCAGATAAGGTCAAGTTAAAGGTCACCATCACCAAGCCCTTATTATATGAAATGTTCAAGGGACTTATGTAAGAAAAAGAAGATGATAAAAAAATATGAATAGTAAAATGACAACAGATTCACAACTATCAACAACCAAACCTAAAAAAACAAAAACAAATTCAGCAAATAAGTGGACCAGAAACAGATTCACAGAAATAGAGATCACATGGAGAGTTATCAGCAGAGAGGAATGGGGGGGGGGAATAATAGGAGAAAAGGTACAGAGAATAAGTAGCATAGATGGTAGGTAGAAAATGGACAAGGGGAGGTTAAGAATAGAATAGAAAATGGAGAAGCCAAAGAACTCATATGTATGACCCATGGGCATGAACTAAGGTGGAGGGGAATGCTGGTGGGAAGGGGGCTGCAGGGAGGAGGGAGATAAAAGGGAGAAAAAAATAGGGCAACTGTAATGCATAATCAATAAAACACACTTTTAAAAAAAGGAAATTCCACACGGCCAAGGTTATTTTAGTGCTACTTTGCAGTAAATTTCCCCATGGGCATTCCTATAGAAGGATCCATAGCTGTGGCTTCCCAGGGAACCCCCAGCAGGCAGCAGGGACTGGTGCTTGGAGAAGGTCTGCAGAGCAAGCGCTGGTTTGATTGGGTTTCCTAGGTTGAAGCTGTGGGAAAGATACAGCACAACTGGAGCTCCTGGGAGCCCAGAGCCAGGCCTCTGGGAGGGGGCCAGGACTGCTGTGCTCTGGTACCTCAAGGACCAGCCCCTGAAGTGTGTGTTCCTGCATTCCATTGTCTGTGCTCTGCCCAGGAAAGTGGTTTACACAGCATTGTAAACTGAAGGAGGTAGGCGGTACTGCTGTGCTATTTGTGTGGGAGCTCAGTGTCTCCCTGCTATGGCCCAGAATGGGCTCTCCAAGGCCCCTGGTATCTTCTCAGTGGTTCCTCATGCTAAGATCCCTTGCCCCTAAGCTTGAAAAAAAGAGGTTGCAAGTTGTGATAGGGGACTCAAGAGTTTGAAAATCTTAGTTTAAGGTAAATAGATAATAAGCTTAATAGGTAATGCATATGTTAAAGTTATTGTTTCAAGAACTGCAGATAAGGCCAACCACTCCAGAGAGAGACAGCTGACCTCTTAGAACACCACTAAAGATTACCGCCTGGGGAACAAGTGGAGGCATCTGGGCCATTGTGTTCCAGGGACAGACAGAGGACCATCTGCCTCTGGGAACAGCTAACTGCCCAGGGCGACAATACTGTAGTTTTTTTCTAAATCTAATTTTCTTTGAATTTCAAAACCCCTTACTGCACTTTGTTCTCTGTTATAAAAAGGCTGGCTTGGAAGAAAACATAACATGGTCTGTTAGGGTATGAACCCTCTGCCTTCTCAGATCACCAGCCATCTGAATAAAGTGCCCATACAGATTCAATCCCTGTCTCTGTTTATTGGGTTTGGTATGTGACAGGCAGCATGAATGCTGGTCTTCTGGTTTCAGTTATGTGGGAAGGGTGGCCCCAGCTTTTCCTCCCAAGATGGTCCTTTTGATGGGGGCCATGGGAGACAGGCAAGCAGGCTGGCCAGGCTTCAGCTTCCACTCCCCACACTTCCTACCCTTGGCACTGACCTCAGCTTCCTCTCCAACAGTTACTGCTCTCCTCTGGCTTCCAAAATGAAACTTTTGTGGGGACAATGTTGGTCTTAGATGGCCAGATTTCTGGCTGGGTGGAGAAGGAACTATGTCTTTCCAATCATCCAGGTCCCCATCATATCCCGGTCCCCATCATATCCCCATAGGCACTTCATGCCAAGGAAGTGACATGTTGTTTCAACTAGGCCAAGCCAGGCATGGTGGATATGCCATGATGGATCACCTGAGCAGGGTTCCCATCACTGTAAGCACCTACGCTCTCTGGGAAGCCCTCAGAGCACTTGGGTGTCATGAAGAGTGGGTCCATATGGCAGGAAGGGACAGGGTAGGGGGGTAAGTAGAAGAAAAAAAGGGGAGAGGAGGAGGGAGCTTTACTTTGTATGCTCTCCATATCTCTATACTCCCACCCACCCATGATCTATCCATCCACCACCCACCCACCCACCCATTCATTCAGCAGAGGACTCCTCAGCTCTCATTTTGACCTGCTCTTCCCCAGTCGCTGAATATAATTTCATGATGCAGGGTCCCTCCTGACACTGTAGGCTGATCCTATTGCATAGGACTCTGTTCTCTAAGGCAGAGCTCCAATCCCAACCCTCTCCTCTCCCCTTGCTTCCTGTTATTTCCTCCTTTACAAGGACCTTTTGGCTTATGGGGATTCAAGGCTGATGCTCATGAGGTAAGAAAAGGATGAGGTGGGTGAGAGGATGCAGGGTCATGACATCAGTGAGGGTCCTTTTGATGTGACAGGGGCTGGGGTGGGTCCCCCCACAGATCATAGGACCTGGAGCACCTTTACAGCCTCCACTTTCCTGCGTAGCATGGTCTCCATGTCCTCTGAGAACTTCCTCACCAGCTCCAGGCCATCCACCGCCTGGATCCTCAGACTGGGCTCCACATCCTTATATTTCTGTAAGAGGGAATGTGGGAGAGACGGGCACCTGTCATCTGGCACCAGGTTGTGTGGTACCTAATTACATGTGGCCTCCATCCTCTCAACTAGTGCATTCACACTATGGGGTCTTGTTTACTTAACTGGAGGCAAGGACAGGCCCTCACCTCCTCACCGAATATCCCCCACTAATGACTATAGCTGCCTCTTATCAAATGTCCTCTCTGTTTCAGGGGCTCTGGACACATTTGGTTAATATCCTGAGGAGAGAGTAGATTGGGACTCAGGTCAACAAACTTGACCAAGGTCACACAGCCAAGTCTCTGAGACTTCCCTGGGATGCTTATGTGGACTGTGATGCCTCCTTGAGCATCAGTTCATCTTTTCCCAGCACCCCATGATGTACATCGTGCCCACACCAAGCTCAGCATCGACAGGTATTGACGTCACCTGACAAACTGCCAGGGAGCCTGGGAGAGTTCAGAGAGCTGGCATCGAATTCAACTGTCCAGGCTGAGTGTGCGTATCACCAATGTCTAGTGACCCAGTTTGCCAACCTATTGGCCATGTGACCTTAGGCAAGTTACTTAGTTTCCTCATCTGCAAGATGTGACATTGGCATGGCTTTAGGGAATGTTCTAGAATGCATAGACTTAGAGAATGTTTTTACCCAAAACAGTCACATAATTTTGCTCTATCTTTCTCACCTGGGGTTAGAGGGCACAAATGAGAACACTGAATGAAACACTGCTTTGCAAAGTAGGAGTGTGGTGTGAATGGCAAGTTGGTCTGAGCTGTCTTTGTTACAGTGGCCTGTGGAGGCACAGGATAGGGGGCTCAGCCTGGCTCCTCCTAGTTTACTCAGTGAGCTGCAGGGAAGGGGATACAGGCTGGGGCTGCATGGTATTCGTGTGCAATCATAAAAGCTTGAGAGTTGCTTTTGGCATCATTTAAAAAATGAATTTGTGAGGAGAATTAAATCCTGAATATAAAGCTTTTAGCAAATGGTAATGATTGAGAATGGCAAGCTATTCTTAAAACTGGTCTGGGAGTTATAAATATCAGAGGAAAATCAGGTTGTTTATTATCTGGTAAGAGGACAGCTAGGTGTCAATCTGCACTAAAACAATTAACCTGTAAGGGTAGGGGCTGGTACATCGTCTTTTCCATTGGGCCCCATGTCCTACCCAGGAGCCAAGTACTGGCTCACAGCTCTGCTGGGGTCCATGTGGGCTCTGTAGCCCATAGGCCTGGCTGGAGCACCTGAGAACTGGATATATGGAAGCTCCCTCTGCAGAGGTCACAGACCAGCTTGCCTGCTTGTCCTGCCCAAGGAGCTCCTGCAGGACTTTCCTATGGCTGCCTGAAGCCCCTCTTACCCTTTCTCCTTCTCCCTGACCCCTTTCACAGGTGTCAGGTCTGCATCCCAGTCTGCTCACTCCTGCTTCCTCACCCTTCTGCACTGCACAGCTCCTCCCGCAATATCTCCTGTTTGTCCATTCCATCTTAACCTCTGTTTCCAGGGGTCTGAACTGACACCATGCCCTTGACTGCCCTACTGTCTTGTTTTGTGACTTGGGTAAATTGTTCCCCTCTGTGGGTCTCAGTTTCCCATATGAAAATTAGGGGAATGGATTAGTGATCTCTAAGTCCCCTCACAGCTTGGACATTTAGGGATTTGAAGTCTCTGCCCCTTTCTGTGGAAGGGCTCCCTGGCTGACTGCCCTCTGACACTGTGAGCTCCCTGGGAGGGGGCTACTGACCTTCTGCAGCAAGAGGGAGCCCGAGTATTTGGTCACAGTGTCATACAGGTCTCTGCCAAAGGTGTCTGCCCACAGCTTGACCCTGTGGAGCCATGAAGGTATATGTGTATATGCACATACATACACACACATAGAGACATACATATAGATATACATGCACATACAAAACAAGCATTTATATTCACAGACATCCTCTGATGTACACATGCATAAACACAGAGACAAACATGATACATAGAGGCTTGTACACTAACACGCATACACTCATCTACACATACAAACACATACACACTGACATACACCTAGAAAAACACACACAGAGAACTACTGCCCCTCTTGGCCAGATCAGGAGACTGCAGGGACCCACCAGGGACTCAGCAACTGCACTGAGTGTGCTGAATAGCCTTGGCTGGGTCTCCCACTGAGGGGTGGGGAGCAGGGGCTGACGAGCTAGACCAAACCCTGACTGCACGCACCTGAAGGCTGTGGTCTATGGTTGGAGAATGGAGAACAGAGGAGGGGAAGGGGCTGTACCCTGGGGAAAGGCCCAGGGCAGGGCAGAGAGGACCCTGAGGACAGACACAGGACCTGCCTGGGCACAGCAGCAGCTTCTCAGTGAGTCCTTCCCTCTCTAGTGTTCCCTGCTCAAGGTCATTGTAGCTGCTGCATCATCTGTTGAAACCTCAGAGAGAGCATGAAGCACAGAAGCAGAGGAAAAGACTCTGAGCTGCTTCTGCTTCTGCTGAGGGCAGGCCAGGCAGTGAGGGCATGAGAGGCAGCCTAGGGAGAAGCCCTGATCTCTTGTCTGTCCCCAGAAGGACATCAAAATCTCACCATCTGGACAGGCTGGTGGGGGTAGGCACAGGCTGTGTCTGAGCCTCTCCAGATGGAGCAAAGGGGGTTTGCCCACATGATCATCTCGAGATCAGCATTTATTCAGTCACTCAACCAGTATCTGTTAACATCCTAATGCTCAGCCCTGCACATAGTCCTGGAACCACATCTCAGTCCTCACCTTTGTAAAACCTTCCATTAGAGGGCCGTCCTTTCATATACAGATAAAGTAATAGGCGTTTGAAGGGACACCCGTGTTTAGTGTGACGAATAGATTTGGAAGAGCTTGAGGGAGACAAACATGACTTCTAGGTTTCTAGTTTAGGTGGTTGAGCTGATAGTGGTATTATTAAATAAAATTAAGAATATCATGGAAGCAAGTTGGGGAGGGTGGAAGGTGATGAGTGTAGTTTGGGACATGTAGAATGTGAGGTTTCTGTTGCAGGGCTATGTTGTAGAGTGATATTCTATGTTGTATGTTGGGCAGGTTGTGTGTTGTCCAACTCTAGAAAGCACCAATCACTCTGTATCTTGAAAGACACAAACTTGAATTTAAAGCCTTTCATGATGTTCAGGAAGAGCTGTCCATAGGCAATGGATACATGAATCTAATAGGTAGACACAGGGCTAAGAGTCATTAGTATGGTGGTGGCAGTGGAAATTCTGAGCAGATGGGCTCGCTCCAGGACTGAGTGTGTAGCATAAGAAGGTCTGAGTGGACGACAAGCCCTGGAGAACACCAACAATCTCAGGGGCAGGCAGAGGGAAAGGGACACTTAAGAAAGAGAGGTAATAGATGCCCAAGGAGACCCAGGAGAGCAGTGTTGTGGAAGTGGAGGCATTGGGACTCCAGGGAAAGGGAGAGGCTAGTGTCTGAAACAAAGGTCCAGGGAAATAAGTGCAGAAATGCCTACTGGATTGGGCAATGAGGGTCTTTGAGACTGGGGTGGGGACAGATTTGGGAGGGCAGTAGAAGCCAAGGCAGGCATTGGAGGCGGAGGGCTGAGTGCCAGGATGGAGTAGTTTCACAGGAGAGAAATGTGGGGTCTTTAGGGTGGAAAAGACTGAGAAGGATCCAGTGGGAAGGAGGAGGCGGAGCAAGGTTCTGCGTGGAGACCCGGCTCCAAGGGAGTGGGCAGGTGCAGACATGGGTGTGTCTGGGGCCCTCAATCTCAGTGACTCTGGAGGTTTCTGTGCCACTGGTCCACCAAAGTTCTCCTCAATCAAGACCTGGATTCCAGCCATCCTGGAGTTTGCCTTCTACTATTAGTTGGTGTATATTCTAGGGATGAGAATTATTCTCAATGGCCCCCTCAACAACAGATAGTTTTACAGGCTGCTCTGGGTATAACAGTGGCACACAGGCCAGGCTGACTTGAGTTCAAATTGCAGCACTTCCATTTACTGGCTACATGAACCTGGGAAGTTGCCTCAACTCCATAGTTGCAGAATAGGAACACTGTTACCTACCTCACTGAACGGCTGTGTGAACTAAGTGTGTCTTTGTAAAGATGAAAACAGCACTGCTCAAATCTACTGATCAACAAAGCTCAACAAAGTGTGTTGAGCTCAACATTATGTGTTGCTCTGGTGCCCCATCCCCTCTTCTGTTAACACATGAGGTTGACAGCTGGCTCTGATAGCCTGACTCTCATGCTGTACTTGAATGGCTGGACTTAGATATGAACTAAGCAGGTAACCTCCTTTATTTAGGCTAGAGCACTTTGTTTCCCACTTTATTGGAAATTTCTTAATGGAACCACCAGAGCCAAGGACTAAAAACAGATACTCCCAGAGGGGTTGCACAGTAATTTAAATTTACACCACATGTAAATGACTAATACCTGGCCTTCATGACAGGGTGTAGAACCAGGGCCTGGAAGGAGGCAGAAAGGCATAGAAAGGGCATATTGAAGCCACTGAAGTCCAGTTTGACCTGGTCCCTGGTTGCATGAGCCATTTTGTTGATTTAAACTACTGTACCCTTTCAGAATGTTAAAATGAATTTTCTAACAATCCTTGGGGAGCTGCAAGGATCCTTTCGAGCCAACACCGCTCCCACTCCCAGTCACCTCATGTCAGCGATTATCTGGGAAGGAACATCGCCCTGCCTGTACTCGAGATGCTGCTTGCCTTCCCGGTGAGGACAGTAAGCGGATGATCAGGTCTGCTTAAAACCATCAGGTGTTTGGGGAGGGGCAGGTGGAGCTCCCCATTGGAAGAGAGGAGGGTGAAGAACAGGTCTTTGGAGCAAAAAAAGGAGAGTGGGTCATCTAAGTGCCTGGGGAGAGCCCGGAGGTAGATCAAAGGTGGGCAGGGCAGAGGATTGAGGTCTGCCTGGAGGAAGGAAAGGAGGAAAGGAGGAAAGGGTTTTATGGGGTGGGGGCTGAATTGGATGCTTACGTTTCCAGAGGAATCTTGGTCTGCCCTGACCTGGGGGACAGGGCAGTGCTGGACAGAAGCAGACTCAGGATGACTGCAGTCTTCCACGGGGAGAGCCCCAGGCCCCAGGGCATCCTGCTGTAGGGGCAGCTGGGGTCTGGGGACAACCTGGGAGGTCCAGGCATGCTGCTCCTGCTGAGATCAGGGTAGGTGGGGAGGAGACAGCAGCCTCAGACCATGGGCTCTGTCTGCCTGTTATTCAGACCCTTGGGATGCCCCCAAGCCTTCTGTTTTTCGAGTCCTAGCAAACCTGGGGTTCCTGGTTTGTAGTCCGGTCTTGGCTGTAATGCCTGGTGAGAGAAGGGGCTTTTTCTTTTCCCCGCAGATAACAGAGGAGACACCTTACCTGCCTAGCAGGCTTCCAGGAGAGGGGCTGACTGTGGCAGGGGAGGCTGTGACAAAATGAACCCGTTAATCCACTGGCCTCTCCTCTAATCCCCCAGCTGACAGCAGGAAAGAGGGGGTGGCAGGAGGGACCTCAGCAGGATTACTCTGATTTCAGAAGACAGGGCTTGCCCAGTGCAGGGTCAGAGTATACTTTCCCGCTTTAAAGAGGCAGTCCTTGTGTACCCAAAGGGAGGATACTGTGACACTAGCCTAGGATATCAGCTGATGTTTGCCCAGAGCTCCAACCTACCAAGAGCTACAACAGATCCTCTCCTTAAACCTGTGAGTGACCCTGGAATGTTCCTATCATCCAGTCCTGTTTTCAGGGGCTCTTGAAGCACAGGAAAGATTGGGGACAGAATTGAGAGTCTACTTCTGGCTGATGTCTCCAATGCTGACTTTGGCCATGTCAACATCCTAGGGACTCCCCAAACCCCACATTGTACCTGCTCCTGGTTCTGGTCTAGGGGCACATTTGCCAGAAAGCCAACGATGCTTCAGGGTCCTTCCCTCTCAGCAACATGTTCCTAATATATACAAAAGGAAGATTGACCACTACTGGTTAAGACCGCTGTCTCTTTCCATTCCAGCTCTTCTCTGTCTGATTTCACCTCAGTTGGATGATGTGTAGTGGCTGTGCACATTTTGAGGATCCAACTAAGAGAAAGATGAGCTGGGGAAGCATTTAATTAGGGCTTAGTGGGATTTACTTAGGTAGCTCAGTTACTTCCTTGTATAGCCAAGTTATCTCCAGTCATCCTGGTGTAGAAACACTCTTATCACCCACAGTGCTGACACCCCTGCATTAGGACACTCAGGTGCAGCAGTTCATTACCCATATGAACATCCTACAGCGGCCCCCACTGGAAGTACATGGGAGGGGAGGAAAAATAAGGTTTGAAATACCCTAAGCCAGAAGCTAGTCTGGTAGAGTCTTCCAGAGATCCAACAAATGAAATTGCCCATAGAGCACTTGGTTGTCTGGCCAAATCAAGGTCTGGCCAAAACAGTTCTCTTCTGTTAGGAAAGCAGTTGATATTGAATGAGGGTAATTATGAACAGGCCATACATTGTCTTCTCTTCCCATGGAAATTACACAAAATGGAATTTGATCAAAATTCTTGCGTTTGTGCGTCAAAATTGGTGATAATACTACACGAGCACTGGATGTGATGTCACAGTTTATTCATTCCATGTCTCAGAGTGCTTCTTAATCTATGTGATACATCTCATCCTGACAAAATCTGCTGGTTCCAGCAAAATGGCACACAAAATTGCCACCAACGCAGAGAAATGTCTGAAGAAGCAAGTGTTCCAGTGACAGAACTCCTACACATACTCATCAGGGAGTCAATGTTGTAGAATCAGAGGCATCTGGTTACACAATTATGTGGCTCAATACAACATGGCAGCGATGTTTAAGTGTATTTGAGTTGTTCCTATGAATGCCTTTATTTCAGATGCATTTTGCATATTTTTCAAGATTATAAATCATACCAAATTTAGGAAAAGTACTACGGAGGTATGTGGAGCAATTAATGAAAAAAAATTGTAATTTTTCTAGGTGTTGTGATTCTTGTGGTATTCATCAACTTCTTAACATTTTGGGGGGATGATTTTTTTATTATAAATAAATATTCAATATTACATCTATTTTTGTATTTGTAATTTGTATTCTTTTTCTTTTATAGATGACCACCTCCAGGTCGAGCGCCTCCCAACCCCCCAGAACCTGGCCCTGTGCCTCACTGTAGCACCTGCTCACCAGAGCCACTGAGTCACCCTGATGTGCTGAGCATGGGAGCACCTAAGAAAGCTCTTTCCCCGCTCATCATACTTATTTCCCAGTCACAGTGGTGGCCTAAGTCCCACCCAGCCCCTTAACTGCTTGGGAAGCCCTCATAGCACTTGTAAAGAAAAATACTGATATTATAATAGTGAGTAAAGTAATATATGTCTTTTCAAAGATTGTTAAAGAACAAAAATTTAATCAAGTAAATTTGAAGATCTAATTGCTTTTATTAAGTGATTCATGAGTTGGGTAGCATCCTATTTCTGAGGAGTTGGACAAAATGGAAGGTTTTTCTAGGCAGACTCTGGGTGGGACAAGAAAGTTATTAGTAGAAGAAAAGAAAGGATTGTTTCTTCAGGCAAGGTTAACTCCCTTCAGGGGAAGGCAGGGGTCTTATCGGGCAGACTGCCTCAGTCTCCTTTGGGGATGGACAGGGCCCATGTGGTGACAGACTATCTCATCAACATAGGCCAGAAAAATCAGGCCTAAAATTACATTCCTGGATAAGGTTGAAACCACACTTAGGTCAGGTAGTAAGTTGAAGTTCAGTGTCATGGCTTTAGCACAAGTGACTCCATTTGGGGCCTGTGGTTTTCTCTTGAACAACACTTACTAAGGTATTACACTTTACAAGTGTGCCCAAACCAGTTTTACAGAGAAAAATACCTTTCTATGTATTTTATATATATAATGTTTTATATATATAAATACAATGCTATATATGCATGCATTGTCAGCCTGGCTAATTATAGCATCTTAAGACAGTAGCCCCTCGTACTACTGCAAACTGTGAAACACTAGGACTGTGGCAGGAGTCAGGGAGGAGATGGATTGGGGGGGGACTTTAGAGCTTAATACCTTCAGAAAAGGAATTTCATAGCAGAAATCAAATGAAGAGTGGGAACAGAGCCCAGAGCTAAGGGAGTTATCAATTGTTAAGAGAGACTTTTGAAATTCAACACTGATGGCTCATCACTTAGTCTAGGCCAGGATGGTATCGCATTCCTGCCAGATAGGAGTGAGTCTGTGTTGTGACTTTTATTTTTAAGGGCTTCGAAAGAAACGGTATTCCAACTTTCTCTTGGTCAGTGTTTCATCTCAAATCCCTCAAGTGTAATCTAACCTGACCCATGTTCCTAGGGTATCTTCTATGTGTCCATCTCTCACCAGCCACTGGGGATGCGATGCCTACAGCTGGAATGGAGATTGGATATGATGCTTCAGGTAAATACTCAAGGTCTGTCCAGGGGGCTTACTTCAAAAAAACAAAACAAAACAAAACAAAAACCACTCAGCTAAAGCAAGCTAAGTGCTGTGATGCAGAGGAAAGGATTTGGCAGCACAGTGGAGGGGACAATTATTTATTCCCTTAGGGGGAAAAGGGGAAGAACATTTCAGGGAAGGCTTCACAGTGAAAGAGACATTTGAATTAAGCTTTAAATAATGAATAGGAGTTCAGCAAATGAAGACTATTGAAGGGATAATTATAAGGAACAGATGGTACGAGGAACAAAAGTAGGAAACTCCAGGCATGTTATAGTGTACATACCTTTTGTGGAATGCTGAGAATATCAGTGTCTTTTACTGCATCCTAAGCTATACTTAGTGGCTTAAAATAAAAGCAATTATTTAGTAGTTGATGAGCATGTATTTTGGGCAGGGCCCAGGAGGCAAGTCTCCTCTCCATTCCAGGCAGTGGCAGCAGGGGCCACCGGAGGACCCTCTCCCAAGATGGTTTGTTTACTTACAGGGCCTGTAGGCTGGTGCTGGCTGTGGGCTGGGACCTTGCTGGACTGAGGCTGAGAGACTCTACTATCCTCTACCGGGCTTCTTGGGCTTCCTCGCAGCATGGTCCCAGCATGGTCCCAGCATGGTCCCAGCATGGGAGGTAGCTGGCCTCCCAGAGTTAGAATCCCAAGAGAATAAAGAGGAAACTAGTGCCTTTTATGATCTGCCTAGAAGTCACAGAGCATCACCTTGGCTATACTTCACTGATTAGCCAGGCTCCAATTTGGCCTGGACTCAAAAGGAGGAGGCACAGACCCTTCCTCTCAATGGGAGAAGTGTCAGAATTTGCAGACATGTTTAAAAACTGTCACAGTGAAGGTCGCAGGGCTGGGGATAAGGGAAGATGGTGATGGTGGGAGGGCTGGGGTAAGGGGAACGAGAAGGGAGCTGCAGGAAACAGAGCTGGAGGAAACTTAGGTAATACCTAGATGATAAAGGAATATATCAGTTTTTTCTAAACTCTAACTTGAGTATCACCTACTGCAATTCTACATCCATTGAAAAGTAGTGATTTATGAGTGTGCCAGTACAGGGGATGGAGAATGAGGAAAAAGGAACAGATGTAAAAGATATAAAAAATGTCCGGTATCTAAGCTAAACTCCTTCATGCACAGACTACAAAGTCATATCCTTTCCATTGCTCAGTGAGTTTGGTCAGTGAGAATGTCCCCCAGTGCTACCATTCAGGGAAAAGCTCAGTGGGAAGTATGTGGGTATCTTCCTCTTGCCCTCTCCCTTCTCCTGGTACCCCTCTCTCCCTCCCCACCCCTCATCCTCCCCTTCTGCCTGCCTCCTTCCTCTGGTCCCCCTTCCACCTTCCCCTTCCCCAGCTCCCTGCTGCTGCCCTCTCCTCCCCCCCTTGTCCTGCTCCCTCCTCATGGCCTCTCTTTTACTCCAGAGCCTTTGCTCTGTTTCTGGGTGACTCTCCACATGGACTGTGCCCACTAGCTCCTCCAGAGCTAGGCTGGAGCACATTCATCTCTGAGCTCTCCCTGCCTGGGCAACAGCAGGACAGACAAAGGGAATGAATCAGATCTCTAGGCTTAATTCTACACCAAAGTATAAGCCAGTTTTCCTCACTACTCCATGTTGTTTCCTTCGGTCATGGCACGAAAATGTATGAGTGTGCACAACCATGTATTTGAGGCAGTGTGCCCAGGTCTAGTTTTCCATTGGTCATCCAATACCTCCCCCACCTGCTTCAGGGGATAATGAAGATCAAATGGAGCAATGTAGGTATGTTTTGTTGACAAAATATAAAATATTATGGAAGGAATTGTATAAACTTTTTCTCAAAAGAAATTTTTATAGAAGCCAAAGAAAGCTATTTTAGTCAATGGCAACTCTCTCTAGTTGCTCAGGCCCAAACCCTTGGAGTCAGTTGCGCCTCCTCATCCTCAGGCCTGCTGC